TTGTGAGTGACAAATGTGACCAGGCAATTACTTAATTATTATCGTTTAAAGGAGGGTGAATTCATGCTTGTCACACAAGGTTTTGCTGTTCGCTTTCCTCTGCATTCCTATTGTGCAAGTTCTCTATTACGAAACAACACAATTACAATGACTTTGTCCTCTTCTAATACCACTATATGGAAAACACAACTTGGATGTATTGAAATTTCAGGAAAGTTTATTAACTTTATGTACACAAAAATATTAAAACCAGCATTCATGGCAGTGTAATTAACAAAAGAGAAATGTTCCCAGTACTGACTTAGTAGGATACATCCATATAAATCATTGATTTGAGAATAGCAGGGTTAAAATCAAATCAAATCAAATCCTTTATTTAGACATGTAACACCCAGGAGCACCAAAAGTTCTCGTTAAAACGTGTATGTGTAAAAGAATTAAGTCACTTTTTTAAAGAAGTCACATTTGTTTAACTTCTCACAAGATAACAAAAACTGATTTACAACTCAAACAAACAGTAAACTACTAAGGAAAGAATATATTAAAATATGAGAAGAACAAAATCACTGCATATAACAATAACATTATTAATTAGTAATATTATTATTATTATTATTATTATTATCCTAACTTGCTCAAGCCACCTTGAGACTTAAAAGATAAAGAAATATTTGAGGATTTAATAATATTTCAATAAATACCATTTTCCAAATATTTTTTATCCTCTCTCAACATCATAATTTTAATTGAATCTTTCTTCACAAAATTCAAATTTCACTGAATAGTAGCTCAGTAATAATAATAATAAACTGTTATTTTGTTGCTTTAAAAAATAATGAGTAAAAAATAATCTAACCCAAATGTTAAATTGTAATGGTTTCCAATCTTAAAGAGCATTTATCACTATCCCCAATACTGTAATTTGCAAAACCACCATTAAAACTTTTTTCAAGGAAATCGACTGCTAGCTTTTTGTTAGTAGTTGTAGTATTATGAGCATCTGCCTGTTGACAGTTAACAATTAACCATTTCTCAATGTGCATTCAATAAATTGACACATTAACAATGATCATAACAACTGTAGTTTGCAAGGTCTAGAAATGAAAGCTGTTTCTAGTCTGTTACTAGCCTCCCCGCCGACGTCCTTTGGGGTTCGTTTGTCACGCATTCATTTCTCCCCCTAGTCTGTTACAGACGGTCAACAATAATAAGTTATTGGCCTTGCAGTCACCTTTCCTTTTGCTCATAATTATATAGCTGTCAGTTAATCCGATATTGTCAGCAAAGTTATTATCCTTTAATTTTTACGAACTGTCCAATTAAGGATTAATTTGGATAGTTTCAGATAGGGCTTTCCTTTACAAATAGGCAAACTGTCCAATGTAAGAAAAATAGGACAGCTGGTCTGAGCCAATCAAATGGCAGAAAATACAATAGGCAATGCAAACTAGCCAATCAGCGTAAAGTTCCTGTGACAACACGCCAAAAAAAGTTTTGTTGGCTGATGGCGGTTCATCGGGAAACACTCTTGGTTTCTTGTTGCTGTGAATGTTGTTTTGTTTTGCTGTTTTGTTTTGGCTTCTTGTCTGGGCTATTTAAAAGGAAAATGTATGACCAAACTGATGAAAGTTTGTATAGGAAACAATCACCGAATGAGATTCTTGAAAATGTACCCTGGGTTCTGAAACTTTGGACAAGAATAAGAAAACAAAGATAATTGTGTTTAGATGTTGTCATTACAAAAAAAATGGACAAAGTCTGCGGAAATCATTTGAGGTAATGAATGAAAAGTTTGTTTTCAATAGTTTGTGTATTTAAATTAAGTATTTGCGTTGTTGCTTTGTCTTCTTTGTACTCGAAATTGTGGTTTTGACCTGTAGCATCGTATGATTAAGGTAATTGAAGGAGCTTTCAAAATTTTAATTGGCAACAAAATGCCAAAGTATGAAAGAGAAATACTAGTTCTACGTTTGTTTATTTGTAAAGAATAAGTTGAATGACACCATTAAGAGTAAACCTTTTTTAGATCTTGCAGTGTGTTTTTGTTTCCACTACCAACGGTTCGAGTGTACAATATTTCACGTTTGTGACGTGCTTAAAAATCTGGATTAACTAACCAGCAATATAATTAATAAGTAAGAGGACTACATGCTTGTCCAATTTGGAAATAACTGAATTCAAAAAATTCCTCTGACAGCTAAATTGGACGAGGCCGTGAATTTTGGCCCTCGGAATTTTTTTCATCCAATTATTTCCAAATTGGATAGCATGTAGTCCTATTACACATACTAATAGAGAGATTAAGATTCACGTGTACAGCAAATGTCAGATTCAAGTTGAGAATTTCTCAGAATAGAAAATAAGCAGAAAAAAACTGTGCGGAACAATTGTTATGGATAAAACATGAAACTACTTATTTTCGGGCAGAAGTAATAAACAGTAAATGAAAATTAAGGGCAAAACTTGGTCACGTGGTACAAATTCACGTTTGCTGTTTGGCATGAACAGAATCTTAATCTCTCTAATAACCAACTGAGAACCTGGACAGAGGGTGCCCAATGGCATTCTTTAATTCCGTCATTTGGACCCAAATTTTCCCTTAATCCCAATGGTTATCTTGGCATCTTGCATCCCGGGCATTTTGTCAATCCCAAATCTCGAAATAGTTTGCTTTAAAACACTGAATCCCAGTCTTCAGATAAGGCAAATCCTGGGTCCCAAAAAACAAATTAGGAATCCTCTGGACGGCCTGCGTCCTTTAAGTCCTGGACCACCGTGTAGCTTCAAACAATTTTTTGTAAGAAGTGAAAGAGTGAAAATATTGCCTTCCAAACAGTGTATAAAATTTAAATTGAACAGTTGTTAATCTGAATTAACTTAGTGACATTTGATGAATTCAGTCAAGGCGATTTTAAGCCAAAAATGTGGCAACAGTGGTCTAAAAATGTTTATTTTTCTATAGCTTATATTATAGGAAATTAACACTCCTTGACATCAAGGAAATTAATAGAAAATGCCTTTTGAATGAAGGAAATTATAGTGAAAGACAGGGTAACATTTCAAATCTCCAGTGATACTGGCAGATCTCCACCCTGAGAAAATACTCCTCTTAGGTGTCAAGAATGTTAAAAGTGTATTTGGAATTTGGGACAAAAATAACGGAAATTAAGGTCACAGAAATTGTTGCTCCACTAAATTAATGGTGTGAAATTTAATGTTTACAAAATTTGAAGCGACTTAAATTGACCTACATTCTTGAAATTACCATTATATTCCCATAATATGGTAACAAAAACCGAAAATGTGTCAATTTGTCAATTTCTTTGGAAAATTATTCCCTGCTCTGACCCTCACATAACATGAACATTTATGAAACAAATGTNGAAGTAATAAACAGTAAATGAAAATTAAGGGCAAAACTTGGTCACGTGGTACAAATTCACGTTTGCTGTTTGGCATGAACAGAATCTTAATCTCTCTAATAACCAACTGAGAACCTGGACAGAGGGTGCCCGATGGCATTCTTTAATTCCGTCATTTGGACCCAAATTTTCCCTTAATCCCAATAATCCCAATGGTTATCTTGGCATCTTGCATCCCGGGCATTTTGTCAATCCCAACTCGAAACAGTTTGCTTTAAAACACTGAATCCCAGTCTTCAGATAAGGCAAATCCTGGGTCCCAAAAAACAAATTAGGAATCCTCTGGACAGCCTGCGTCCTTTAAGTCCTGGACCACCGTGTAGCTTCAAACAATTTTTTGTAAGAAGTGAAAGAGTGAAAATATTACCTTCCAAACAGTGTATAAAATTTAAATTGAACAGTTGTTAATCTGAATTAACTTAGTGACATTTGATGAACTCAGTCAAGGCGATTTTAAGCCAAAAATGTGGCAACAGTGGTCTAAAAATGTTTATTTTTCTATAGCTTATATTATAGGAAATTAACACTCCTTGACATCAAGGAAATTAATAGAAAATGCCTTTTGAATGAAGGAAATTATAGTGAAAGACAGGGTAACATTTCAAATCTCCAGTGATACTGGCAGATCTCCACCCTGAGAAAATACTCCTCTTAGGTGTCAAGAATGTTAAAAGTGTATTTGGAATTTGGGACAAAAATAACGGAAATTAAGGTCACAGAAATTGTTGCTCCACTAAATTAATGGTGTGAAATTTAATGTTTACAAAATTTGAAGCGACTTAAATTGACCTACATTCTTGAAATTACCATTATATTCCCATAATATGGTAACAAAAACCGAAAATGTGTCAATTTGTCAATTTCTTTGGAAAATTATTCCCTGCTCTGACCCTCACATAACATGAACATTTATGAAACAAATGTCCCTAAGGATAAAACTTTCAATAATCCAAACTAATGATTTCTTTACAACATTTTGCATTATATTGGGTGAAACTCTACCCCGATCAAAAAAAAACGTCCTCTTTCGGGAATAATAATCTTAAATAAAGGTAAGGTAAAGGTAAGACTTTTCAAACAGGAAAACTCTAACAACCATTACGGAATAGTTCCTTTGGAGTTCACTCCTCCTTTTCTACTCCATTCTTGTATCCCATTGCCTTGCGCTTCATTCTGGCATATGGTCCAATTGCTGGATCAGTGATGAACTCATAAAGAACCCTGGTCCAGGAATTGTGTTGTGGTAAATCCTTGTAATACTCGGATGCAATCTCTTTCACCATGGGCAGCCTTGAGCCTGGGACACTTGGAAAGTCGTGGTGCTCGTTGTGGTAGCCAACATTAAAGGTCACATAATTCAAGGGGCCATAGTAGGAATAGGTTTCGTAGCCCTTTGCGAACATGTAGTGCTCAGAGATAAAGTGNACAACATTTCGCATTATATTGGGTGAAACTCTACCCCGATCAAAAAATAACGTCCTCTTTCGGGAATAATAATCTTAAATAAAGGTAAGGTAAAGGTAAGACTTTTCAAACAGGAAAAATCTAACAACCATTACGGAATAGTTCCTTTGGAGTTCACTCCTCCTTTTCTACTCCATTCTTGTATCCCATTGCCTTGCGCTTCATTCTGGCATATGGTCCAATTGCTGGATCAGTGATGAACTCATAAAGAACCCTGGTCCAGGAATTGTGTTGTGGTAAATCCTTGTAATACTCGGATGCAATCTCTTTCACCATGGGCAGCCTTGAGCCTGGGACACTTGGAAAGTCGTGGTGCTCGTTGTGGTAGCCAACATTAAAGGTCACATAATTCAAGGGCCCATAGTAGGAATAGGTTTCGTAGCCCTTTGCGAACATGTAGTGCTCAGAGATAAAGTGACCTGCCACAGGATGCAACCCCATTCCTAACAACGAACTTGCAATCATGAAAACAAGTGACTTTCCACCCCAGTAATGAACCACCAGAGCATCAACACTAAACTGGAGAACCATGTTGATGATTTCCAAAGGCAGTGGATTTTTGGGGTTAACGAACATTGGGCGTAAGGAATAGAAAAATGGCTGGAGCACCACCCAAACAAACTTTGTGGCTGTGTTGAAAAACATCCGGGCTTCAAACTGTGTTGGCAAGTCAACATCAAGTTCTTCGTCTCCCTGATAGCGATGGTGTTCCAAATGGTACTTCTTGAAGGAGATGGCACATGGTACACCAATAGGAAAGTTCACTATCAAGGAGAAGATCCGGTTGTGTAACGGGCGGGCATGGCCAAAAGCCAAATTGTGGGAGATCTCGTGGAGAGCAAGAAGTAGAGCATGGTTAATGACACCACCAATAGTGTATGCAACCAAAAAAAGTAAAGTCCAAGAGAAATCTTTCATAAGATATGCCAGTGTGAACTGGATCACCATCAACAACAACACTTGGTACTTGAAGTTTGGATCATAGCCCATCAACTTCTTAATCTGGGGGTACTTAGCTAGGAAACAAAGAGAACGGGTTACTAAGTTAAATGTTCAATAATTTGTAAAATTTCTCACTTATCTCTCATTAATGAGGGAAACCTCATTCATGCCAACAAAGACCTTTTCTTTCCAGTGTCTGAAGCTGACGTTATGTACTCTTGGTTTTACGAACCTTTCTCTCATTCTGACAAGTAAGGTTTTAGAAACCAGTAATTTTCTTACAGTGAAACCCTGATTCAACAAACCCCATAATGACTACATCCTGATGAAACATCACAAATGACATGAAAATGCCATAAAGATGGTACAATAATTTGCCTCTTGCAAGTAAATTTTCCAAGACACTCTACTGTTAATGAAAGTCTAAAACTATCAGCACTGTTGTGAACAGTAAAAACAACAATAACAACAATATTTTCCAAGGTGTTCACTCTGACAGAACATAGAAACCATGTCAAAATAATCAAACTTTTATCATTTATATTATCTAGGAATAAGATTATAGACTAATGAAGATAGGAACCATTTAAGCTATCCAATTTATCCTTGATATCATGAATAACTTTTCCAGTCAAAACTTCCCACTCCTTTTGATTTCATCTACTGTGGCTGACTTAATATACCTGCCAACTCTCACGCCTTAGGCGTGAATCTCACACCTGCGGGTTGAAAACTTCGATCTCACGCCGGCTCACACTTGCGGGCCAATTTCTCACGCCTGATTGAAAAATGTTAGTTGTTGCCGTCTTGCTTGACACAATTTCCAAAAAAAATGTTAACTCAGACCCATGTAAGGAACGAAAACCATGTGTAAAATGAATAAATGACAATACTTCCCTCGCGATCTCTGATTTTTGAAGTGAAAAGAACTGGGAGCGAGCTTGCGTTTATACGCGTCCTAAGACTGGGACGTGATAACTTTGCCTTCGGCAGACTTCGGACGTCTTCGTAAGACTTCGGACTTCTTCCGGAATCTTCGGAAATGATTGTGTCGTCTTCAAAAATCCCAGCATTCCCAGGATAAAAATCTCACGCTTATATCTCAGAAAAAGTTGGCAGGTATAACTTAATATTTTTTTTCTCCCTCTACTTTACATTTTCTAGTGAAGAGCCCTGACACTGAGCTTCTCTGCTAACAGGAAAGCATAAGAAATTTACATAATAACTACATACAACCTGCACAAAAAATACTTAAAGGTAATAAAGACAAAAATGAACTTGTCGTGGTTCGGTAATTTTATCCTTGGTTCAAATGAGCCCCCTCCAACGTCGCCCCCGAGTCTCCTTTTCAACATAATTTCCTAGCCTCATTTAACTAAGACATGTTTTGTGCTTGGCCTTATTTTGCAAGTGAGGGTGTTTGGAACTAAGGAGTTGCCTTTCTTATTTCCTTTTGTTTCAAACTTATTATCATATATACAAATACAGAGAAAAGTAAACGTAAAACCAAGGACAAACATTAAACCATTTTACAAGTTTTATGTACATACTATCAAGAAGGGAAATGACTAGTCACACAGAAAGCTCAACAGATTTTTCACTCACAATACCCATTTCTTGAATTAACAAGAACACTCTTGCCAAACTTTACAAAATTGGCTTTAAATTGAATGACTCGTGTTCATTTTGTTCATCTGAACCAGAAACGCTATATCACTTCCTATATCTTTTCTCGGTAGATTTCTGGTGTGACTTCAAAGTATTCTGGCACCAACTTTTAAAGGAAAACATTTGACTTTCGTTGCAAGATGTTTTAGTTGGAATGATACGACAAAACTCCCCTTCTGCTAAGCTTCTAAACTATCTAATTGTGATTGGGAAATTGTACTTGTGGGATTGTAGAAGAAGTCAAATTCTTCCGAATATATATGGATTTAAAAAGAAAATTGCTGTAAAATATGAAACGGAAAA